CCCCAAAACCCCAAAACCCCAAAACCCCGAGTAGTTAATTCACTCAAATAATTTAGAGAATTAAAAATATTAGAAATCTTTATACCCTCTTCTCAGTTTATATTATATTTATTTGTAAAATGCTACATTAATCAAGATAGATGCTTAAACACCAATAATCCGATAACAACAAGATTCCAAGTCACTAGGCAGCTCATGCATCCTTTGGCTCTCCATGATTACTCTCTTTTCAAAGTTTTAACAAACTGTTGATTGGCTTTTTTAACATTGACATGCGCCTATTCGATATTAAAGTCTATTCTATCGAGTACAGTACCTTGCTCCACCACCAAGTTAGACAATTCCTTGAATACCACAGCTAATTCATTGATATGATTGACTAGATTAGATATTTGCTCTGATCTTTACCCTGTCATCTCCCCCATATGCTCAATCTAAATCAGATTCCTATTTTATTACTCTTGCGCTTGCTTTACATCCAATTCTGCGAAGTAATCTCTCTCTTTTTTATCAAGCTAACTCAGTATAATCTCTCCTTCATCTCCATAAAGGTCCTTAATTCTCATTAGATTCTCTCTTTCAATTGTTCTTAGCTAGCGGGTGATATCTTGCATTTTGAATAGATAAGTCTACTATATATTTTTTCTGATTTGATAATCACTCTGGTTCTATGAATTTTCTCCCATCATTTGCCTTAGCTCTTTTTCGCTTTGTTTTATTGTCTGAATGTTAAAATTGTTAAGAAATTTAATTACTTCTGTGAGAGTTGAAACCAACTCATCAATCTATCTGTCTAACTTTATATTTTCATTATCATCAAACTTTGGTTTAAATCTTTAGGCTCTAAGTTGCTTCAATTTATCAACTATACAGCAGTAAGTAACACACATCATTATTGGTACATTATTTATCAGCTTCAGCAATTTTTTCTTCAATATTCTCTTAGATGTCAACCCAAAGTGGAGGCAACTCATCTTTACCATAACCAACATCATCAAACTTTGCATACTAATTTTTACCACTTTAAAGACTTGCTTAACTACTCGAACTATAAACTTATGCATTGAGATCTTACTTAGCAGATGTTTTAGTGTTTGAATTGCTAGCAAATTAATCTTAAGCGATCACATTAGTTACCTAACCAAATCTAAAAGAATAATATTTAATAGTAAGTAATACCTCTTGGATGGATCTCTATAGAGATTGATTTTAGTTTTCATATTCATGAAATCTTTTGTCCTGTCCTTAGCAGCTCCCATTGCATTAGATAAAGGCTATGTGATTGTTAATTTAAAAAACTACTTTTGAAGTCATTGCAGAATTTATTTCTTAATTTTATATTAACTTAATTAATTTATATTAAAGCTTTAAGGGGTTTTGGGGTTTTGGGGTTTTGGGG